CTCAAGACCAGTTGGACGTGGATCTGACATCACTACCCCAGAAAAATCTACTTCCTATGGAAATCGCAGCAGTAATAGTTAACGTGATGAGATTGAGGCTCAGTGCTACATAAAGAGTTTACTAGTACTAAGGAGGAATGACATATTCTGTTCCGAATTTGGGACTGTTTTAGATATTGAAATATTTGTTTTGTACTGGACTCGATTTTTTTTAAACCAGATTGTCACTGCTGAAGTGTTTTGTGTTCTAGTACCATAACTGTATGAATTTTTTTTTAATCTTTTTTACTGTGCGACTGGATTATTAGTAAGGCAGTTAAAGCCTTATTCCAGCCACCTACAAAAACGAGCCGGAAGATGGCACAAACAAGAAAGGAAACGAAAAAGCTCTCGAAAACAAACAAAAATACAATAGTCTGTAAATTACGCTAGGAAATATCAGAGGTCAGTAATATCAATAATTTAATTTTTGCTCTAAGAGCTGATCTGCGGCGACCCCATTATGTACTGGTCTCACTCTAAGATATACCAAAGTAGACTTTGCATTTGGTCTCCTACCTAACGAGCTTGAAATGAATGGATGGAGTAAGGCTGGGAAGGAGCATGAGACTTAGCAAAAACAGTTAAGAACTACACGAGATAGGAAGTCTTTGAGAGCCACGATCGCCCATATCCTGAAAGGATTCGACACATAGAAGAAAAATATTAAGGTTTCTTCGGAACCACTGATCAATGCAGCTAATTGATGAATCATTTTTTTTTTTTTGTCTGTCGATATTGTCCGCCATTGTAAAACAGAAAGCTGTCTTTCCTTGGATGGAGGATGTTAGAATCATTAAATATGACAAAGATATCAGCCAAAACAAACTAGCTTAGTTAGAAAATGCCCATCTCTGAATTATTTGTAATTTTTTTGTTTTTGTTTTTAGTTTTTCTCATGAAGAAACTCGACTAGCAAGTTTTGTAGTTCAAATGAACTTGACTGGATTTCCCCTTTGATAAACCAATGTACAGCAACGTGAACTAAGAGAAGCTGTTAATTTCTTTTATGATATATTATGGACCCTATTGTTGTAAGGAAAATTTTTCGATGAATAATAATTTTATCTCTTCCTTGAGGAATCGAGGTAATTAAAATTGATGACTAGAATAAAACTCCAACATTTCAACATTTAAAAATTAGATTTGTCACAAAGACAGTTATGCTTACCCTGAGGTTGAATGCTGAGAGGGAAGAAGGTGGAAGAAGAATTTATATGGAGTTATAGTATGAGATGCAAAGTGAAGAAATTTGGAGTTGAAGGGAGGAGCAATTCCTACAACTACTCCCAAAGAAGATGGATAATTCTCCAAATTTGGAAAGATAATTAAGAAAGTAGTAATAGGGAACAAAGAACCCTTGTTGGGATTAATATGAAAATTGGGGGAATCACCAAATCCCAAGAACCCTTCGGTCCACGCCGGTTTTGCGTCAAAGTGAATATAAACAGATAGCTTTGAAAACTCGCGAACTTGCGCTGCGAATCCCGCATCGAGTTCCTTTGGAATCCACGCCACCAGATCTCCTGACTCTGAAGAACTTTGAACCCCGAATTTTAGCCGAGGCTCAGTGTCACTATAGAGAGTGATGCAGAAAGGGTTAATTTTTGTTGTACGAAGAACTATAAACCAATTGAAGATTAACCCAATGTATCTTTCGTTTTTATTTTTCGTTGTGAAGATATTTTTCCCCTAAATATAGCGCCCACCACGACTCGAACCAGCGCTTCGATTACTACATTCGATCTTCCACTGCTCTGAGATCAAGAACACGATGTAGGCAGAGTTGGTGTGGACCGAAACGGCCAGCGACCAACTGCCAGCTCGGACCAGCGTCAGTATTGACTAACGCAGATTTAGTCCTATGGTTAAAACGTCAGACCGGACCACTAAACATGGTTACACCACGTTGTGTAGGCGGTGATAAAAGGGTTATATATTATTCCATCTGTCATTCAAGCTGTGCACAAGTTAAATAAACAGATACCGCCGTGTTAAACACTGCATTTCTGCGATATTTTAAACTTAAAGTAATATTTGTTTCAAATGAGATTGTAGAGGACCGTCTGTGTTTGCGTGTTGTATTAGAAACACATGTAACTCCTAGTAGAATATTAAAAGGTCCAACTACAAGAAAATAGACGGACTTGAATTAAATCCAACTGAAGATAAAGAAGACAAACAAGACCGATATATATATATATATATATATATATATATATATATATAAACAAGGTAAATTTTGGTTTGGTTTCTCGAGCGCTAATATCCCTTAAAACTTTTCCCAAATCGTCATAATTCCGTGCAAATGTACATGCTGAACTCGAATTAACAATTAAATTATGAAGAAACCTTACTGTTTTGGAGTTATCGACAAGAAAAAAATCGGACTTCTTGTTGGTCATTCGTAACCCCATTACTACCATCATGATTACTGTTTCACTGCGTAGTACCTACGCAGGCGTAATCAGAAAATTTGGCCTATTTACTTCTTTTACAGACTTTCCTTGCAGAAAATCACTACGCACTACCGTAAAGAAATGTATATTTTTTATTTATTTTTTTTTTTTTTGGTAAGTGTAGTTTTATTTATAACAAAAACAAATTAAATAATACAACAGAACCTTTTTCCATTTCGAATGGCAATGACAAATTAAAAGAACAAATTAAACAATAAAAATAAAGCATTTTTTATATTGTAAAATTGAAATCATGAAGGCAGTAATGGGGGACGAATGACCAATGAGAAGTCCAATTTTTTCTTGTCGATAATTCCAAAATTATGAAGATTTCTTCATAATTTAGTTGTTAATTCGAGTTCAGCATGTACATTTGCACGGAATTATGACGATTTTCGAAAAAACTTAAGGGATATTAGCGCCCGGGAAACAAAACCAAAATTTAGCATAAACAAATATATGTATTAAACAAAACAATTTTACAATGGACAATAACATTTGTGTGTGTGTAAACATTGGTGTCTGTTCTTTGGTGAATGTTCGTACGTACGTGTATGTGTGTATAATGTTCATGGCATTTCCCACAAATGGGAAGACGCGAATCTTCTAAGAGAGCTTACATTGTAGTCGCTGTAATGAAGAAATGGCAGAGAGGAACCCGGACGGAGCTTTGCCGAAGGGCAAAGTTTCATCCGGGGAGGTAGACAGACCCTGAACCCGTCTAGGCGGGTTCAAAGGGTATATTTTTGGCCGAGCCTACGGGCTCGGAGAAACCCACATTAAACTCTGCCTTGTGCCACATTCAATCCTCGTGGGTGGATCGTTAAATATTGAAAAAATGAAAAAGAGTACGAGGCGAGAAGTCGCCCAGTATTTAGGGAGAATTTAGAAATTAAGGAGGAGCTAACTCCGACAAGATTAATTAAACTTTAAATCACCTAATATTCCTCAAATAAAGTTTCAGAAAAACATATTTTATTTTCTGATGAAAAATGGTGCTAAATTTCAGCAATTTTGAAACGAAAATTCCTTCTAGTCAATTTAAATTAATTTTGAAATACAGCAAATATGTTGCTTATTGGAAATATTAAATTTAATCAATTAAAAATTAAAACTAAAAAAGCTTCAAGAAAAATTTTTCATTTTTTAAAATTAATTTTAAACCTTAGGTATCGCGAATCTGTGGGAGTACCTTACATACAACTAGTTTCTCCGATTGTGTATGTTTTTGTTTTTTTTTAGATTTAACAGGAATTGTTACTTTAAGGAATCCTCAAAGCAAAAGTATTTATCTGTAACACTTTTAATATCTGTTTCTTATAGACTTTTAGTTTTAAATCAGCGCGTTTGCTTTCAAAGAAAACTGGCTTAAAAACTCATTTTCGTCGTTTTGTATTTGAACGCCTGTTGAGATTAAATGTCAACAAGCATTTAAATAATTGCGTCACTAGCGAACATATCTCCATAAGTTAGACTGATTTTTTCATTCCTCTATCATTTGTAACCACATAACTACATAAATCTGACATTAATTCACATTGACGGCAGTACTTTGATTTACATTACCATCACCCGTTTATTTTTTGTATTTTGATTAAAAAAAAATGTCACAAAAATGTAAAAACGGTCTTAATTGCCAATAATATAAGTGTTAGAGTTAGATGGCTATAAAAAAGGCACTGTTAATTATTTACAGTTAAACGTACTTTCGTCTTGTACCCATTTTTTTGCAAAAATACCAAACACTCTAAAACTACACTGAATCGGTTTTTAAAGCATATCACTTTGACACGGCCTTTTTCAAAAAGAAAAACAATATGGCTTTCGTTTCTCTAGGTCAACCGATGTGTTAACGCATATGATTGAATTTTATTTGTAATCTAAGAACGGCGAGGATCGCTCTGTGGCTTCTGATATCTCGAAGGTCATCGCTATCTACACACTAAAGTATTCTCATTATCTTTAAGTCCCAGTAACCCTTTGTGTCTCAGTAGGATTATCGCTTTGCTTGGGGTGAAATGATTAAAGAAAACTAAAAAAGAATAAAACAAAGATAAAAAGAAATTTTCCTTTTCTCTTTGTTTTAGTTTATGTCGACCTCGTTTCTCATTAAAATGATACTATCTATTATTTTAGTGTATTTTGAGTGTGAGTGTTTTTTGTTTGTTTTCTTGTACATTCTCACATACCTCAAAATATTAATTTTTGTAAAGTAATTTCGCATTTTTGAAAAGGGAATAAAAACCAGTGCAGTTTTGTTTTCTTCTCAGTCTGTGAAGGTCCTTTGGCGGCCTTCCTAAGATTTATGACAAGGAATGAGCCATTAACTTAGCGCGCTGGCCCAATTGCTTGTTGGTTGGGGTGGATGTGAAACACAGAGACGATCATCTCTCTTTTCGATTCATAATCGCCAAAGGGTATTTGCGTGTAAGTGAATTTAAAGAACTCGAATGGAACTTGAACTCGTCTCTCCGATTTCTAATAGCACATCGCCCATCAATGCTTACAGCATTTGGTTTTTCCAAGCGGTCACCCATTTAGGTACTGACCAGGCACGACACTGCTTAACTTTGGTGATCTCATGAGAACCGCTTGCAGCGTGATATGGCCGAAAGTAGATCAAATTTAAGCAAAATTAAATTTAAGAACATAATTATTAAAAACTAGCTTAAAAGCCGCCCTATCGGGTGGCATTTAAGCTAGCTCCTGCGGATGGCTCTTGATTGAGCCTTAATCAAAATAGGTAGGGAGGAATAGATGCGACAGGCAACAATAAATTACAGAACCCAAAATTGATCACTACATTTAAGTATTGCATTAATATTTAAGCTTTCCTCTTAAAAGTTCAACGATAATTCTACTGCCGCCATTTAATATAAAGACAATTTGATGTACGTAGGTCCTTACTTTCCATACAAACAATTATTTTTATTTCATGGATGACTTTCGCTGGATTTCGCAATTAATTTCGATTATTTCCAAGTTATAAATATTGTTATCGTACTAAAAAATTCGTCGCCAAAAATCACGTACAGAAACCACCGTAGACATTCGCAGTAAATGAAAACTTGTGCACCCCAAATTTCAGGATTGTGTGTCCGGATCCGGTACGGAATGTTTTTAATTTACTCACGAAGTCGGCCTGATTCCAAAATGGTATAATATGTTGGGTTACGGCCCCTAGGAGTAAAATTGAAAAAGTGTGACACACTGACACTCGCATTTATTATATAAAAGAAGATGAGCTATTGAAAGTTACAGAGTTGTGTCACTTTAATTGAAAAAGTGTGTCACAGTGGCATTCGCATTTATTATACAGATGACAATAGCCCAAAATGAAACTATTTTTTTTATTCCATCTCTGGATGACAACTAACGAGTACTGACTTAACATACTTTCGTACAGGAGAAGCTTAAGGTACCCAATGAGGATCGAACTAGTATTTTAATAATAGGAAGACTTCTTCATTGCTTACATGTTGCTGACCGTTACTACAAAACGTTTTTTCCTGGGGTGCACGGAAGAACAACTTCTTCTGTGTCGTGTCTATGATGTGGACGTGAGTGAACATGGCTCACCACAATTTCCTGTCCTTTGTAGCTCTTAGCAAATTTTGTCTTTTTGTTATCTCTCCTAATCTCTGTTCTGCCAAACATTTACATAAGATTCGTTAGGTAGTTTATGCGTTGCTTCCTCTTGCCTTTAATATGTCTTGTCAGTGTCAATTTTCCTAATTCAAATTTTTCCTCATTTTTGGCCACAGTATTTTCAACTGTCTCTTCTTGATGTTAAATATAAGAGTCCTTTTTGTTTCCATTTTCTCTAAAACTTCGTCATTGCTCACATGTTCAGTCCATGGTATTCTCAGCATCTTTCTGTTGAACCGCATTTCTGTTTCCTCAAGTCTCTTCTTCATCTGTAATGAGATTGTCCATCATTCACTGCCACATACGGGAACCTTAACAGTTTGTTTCCAACGAGATTTTTCTACTTCAAATACTTTGCTTAGTTTTTGGATGACATCTTGCGCTATCCCAATGCTCCTTCGGATTTCGGTGCCGCATTATCCGACTTCTGTTAAAACACTTTATAAATGTTTAAAAAATATTACTAAATAAAAAAATATATTTTTTAGTGGGTGTCTTCAATGTCGAGTTATAGTTCGCCAACTAGTCTAGTTGACCATGAGTAGAGAGAGTTCTATTTTCACTGGAGGCTCTATATTTACAGGCTTGTGCCAAAACTAAGTTAAGTTAAGTAAATAATAAATTCAAGAACAGTAATTCTGAATTACGTGACCAGAAAGAATTTTCATCTGCAGTTGAAAGATGATCTTGGCTTTCGTTATCAGTTTAATCTAATCTGCTATGCAAAATATTAACTCTTATTCTGTATGGACCGTATATCAAGTAGGTTCCGCGCTGCTTACCCCTGTTCCTCTCTCCCTCAATCTGTCCAGTGGCTATCAGATTTCCCAAGCCCTCCTTCCCCATTACGTGCCACAGAAAATTCTATATTTAATGCACTTGAAAATGTAAGTGCTTCACTTTTTAAAAAATATATATCAAATACTGATTTGGTCAAACTTGTTTGTGATAGGGACAACATTTCGGTCGTTTTACTCCGGTCTTCTGATGCCTGGCGTATTCAGTAAGTTTTCGATATTTCTAAACGGACCCTTTATAGTGATTTTCCAAGACCGAAAGTAGGGGCACCCAGTGAGGATCAAACTCACTATTCAGCCGTAATTGTTCTAGTGATACAAGCTTGCCAACCTTTACACCGCCCCGAGGTTCCTAAACGTACTCTTTATATAATCCATGGACTATTCTCATTCCACTGTTCATACTAAAGCACGACGAACTAATACGCTGACTAAAACAACTAAGATGGGGAGGCTAGTTCAAATAAATCAACGTATAAAAATGACAGTTCCTATTATCAGAAATTCAAACAATCCTTTAAAGTTTCACTTTTTAAACATTCGCAAATCCGGCGTTTACAAAGTTGCGGACAATGCATAAAACTGCACTTGTCAGTAACAAGGAAATATGACACAGAATTTTCGTCAAGAAAGTTGAATTTTGCATCTGTCATTTTAGAGAAGATGTCACTTGTTTCCTTATGGCATTCGGGAGTCACTATTAATTTAGTTGGTTAGTAGAGGGCCTAGCTTTAAGAGTGATCTTGAGTTGAGGTGCTGATATGTAGGCAAACTAACAAATTAAAATAATCTTTCTAATAAATCAATCACGTCACTCAAAATATGTGAATTTAGTAAACTTAAATATAGTAACTGTGAATGATAGGTTCGGATGTTAGAGAGAAGAGGTTGTGGGGTGCAGCGTACCCGGATTAAAGGAGAATTTAATACGGGATACCCTGCCCACAAAATACAACGCAAATCTCAAGAAGAAACAACACGATAAGGAACGTTTATAAAAAATAGAACATTGTATATTTATTATCTTGTGAATAGGGTAAAAAAAGATTAATGTTTTAGTTCGTTTCAAAAAATGTGATTTTGATAAAAATGTCTGTGTTCGTTGTCTTTTAACAGAGTAGTAGAATAATGTCTGTTTCTTTTGTTTTTGTATAGTTGTAAAATGAAAAAGGGGCGAGCAATTTAAGTTGAAAAAAGAGAGTGTGAATGAGGAATAAAGATAAAAGGAAAATGTACTTATGAATTGTTTTGAAGTCAGTTGTAAATTCGTTGTTGTTCCTTCCTACTCCACTTCTCGGCTCTTTGTGTAAGTGTGAGTCAGTGATGAAATTTACTGTCAATCTTCTGTGATCTTTTGCGCCTAAACTCCTAAATGTAGTCGTCTCTTCTACTCCAATAGCTTCATGTCTCGCACTTCTCGCCTATGGAACTCCCTCCCCATTTCTTGTTTTCCTGATAGCTATAATTTCCAACTATTCAAATGTAATGTCAATTAATGTCTCCAGAAGCCCTGATCTATCCCCTATCTTCCTCTTCATTCTTTCCTCTATCACTCCTATTTGCTCTCCTTCCAACTCTCTGTAACCCCTTGCGTGCTAGTGGCTTCCCGCCTTGCTTGGGGTTGAATGCTTAAAAAAAATTATAGTTATGACTGTAAAACAAAGTTGATGTATGAATGACTGGATTTGTACTCAATAAATGTCAGATGAACCTACTGTTGATGGTGTTTGGCATTTCATCATACAGATTAAATGCAAAACATAATGTAATTCATATGAAAATTTAACTTTTCTTCCTGCTTTTGAATTTAAATAATCCATTGACACTTGACAATATTGATTCATATATTAGCTGAACGATCTACATACACAGTTCCAGAGGGTCCACTTCGCTGTCAATAGCTATGTGGCGACGATAACAATGTTAATATTCCAACTAGCTGACAAGAAATCTATCTTTGAATATAAATATCACCTATTTACATTTAATATTAGGATATTAATGATGTTTGGTTATATACAAGGACTGGTAATTGATAATGTGTGAGTAGCAAATCAAACACCTGTCAAAAGTCAAGACATATTCCTTGTGGAATAGCAAAAAAGTGGGGGATTTATATGCCATCAAATAGGATGCTACACTGCAGATATATTTTTGCTAGGTACCTCTACGCATTTCTAAAAAAATCAATGACTTTTAAGTAATTTAAATGTCTTTAAATACGTAAAAAACAGAAATAATTTTACGGATTTAAATAAAGATTTTAGATATTCTTTAAAAAAAAGTGTGAAAACAAACTCACTGCCGCCTGGTGTGACACTATTTAGCTATAGTAATTGGCTAACTAATTAATCATAGAAATGAAAAAACAGAAAATAGACCTTAAAGCGAAAAAAAAGAGCTATCTCGAAAGACAGAATGATCGATGAAAAAAAAATGATTTTAATTCTATTTACGAAAAAAAAAAGAAGGATACTTTTCACAAAAGACTGTGAACCCGGGAAGAAGCTACGTGTGAGGTCTTGTCCTGTCGAGTTAATTTATGTCTCGCCGAGGGAAATAGAAAGAAAGGCAAATATGGAATTATCGGCTAAAACACGTGCCGGTCATAAAAATTTCGGCTGGAGACGAATGCCGATACAGGTAGGGAGGATCAATGTTAATTATCTTTCCAAGATATCGTTTATTTTTTTTATTTTTTTTCTTGGATACAGGCGAGGAGAAGTAATGTGGCAATTATAAAATTTTGGCATTGTCTCGATATAGGTGAGAGGATTTGTTATCATTTACTTTGCTAACAGACGCCAAGACGTAGAATAGCAATGTGGCAATTGTAAACTTTTGGCAATCCTCAAAAAATAGTGGAGAATTGAGATTTGGCGAGATAAAAGAATTTAATTTCTTAACAAGTCAAGGATTCCATTATAAAGCTAATTTAGCGTAAAGAACCGGATGACAAATTTTGACAGTGATTAATGAGACGGTAAGAGTGCTGGCTAAGTGATTTTTGGGTGGCCCAGGAAAAGAGAACATATGATAAAAATTTAATTAGCAGTGTTGAAATTGTAAAAATTTTTGACCGATGGGAAAGGAGAATTTTGTAAACAAAAATTCTAGATTATAATTTTAAGGAGGCCAGCGAAGTCACACCCACACTGCTGAGAGAGC